TATATATATATATATATATTAACGCTAGAGGTCGTGGTCGTAGCAGCGTCAAACCGAATGCTCAAGTCGAGGTGGCAGAATTGTTTGGGGTATGAGAAAGATTTTCTCCAAGACAGTCAGATAAAACAATATATCTAATATTCTCTTATTAGTATATTCTCTTCAGAATATGACCTCATATAACAGCACTTAACGAAATACAAAGAACCGATAGCAAATACCACACAAATATAATACAGAATTAGATTACTCCTTGAACACTTTGAATAATTTAGATCATTTGTCAACATTGACTCTAATATTTGTTCCTAATCAACTACCTTTACAAACGCCCGTTCACGGTAACTACTGCTTCGCCAGCAGCGTTTGAAACTCACAAAACATTATATCTTTTGATTGGATTATTACATCACAGTAAATGCCTTACTTCAACACAAATCTTTGATTCTAATAATCGCAACAAATTATCAAATGACTTATCCAACTACAACTATTCACAGTTCATTTCCTCGACAAGATTACGCAGACATGAAATATAATACTTTACACTGCTGTCCCGTAAACATCACATGAATGAACTGTATTAATGGCTTACAAGGTTATCTTTCCGTTATTTGCCGTGATCTAGTTCGTATGACAATCTACGTGATTATGCAAATTTGGAACGGTAGTCTTTCCGTTGGTGCTCTAGCATTCGTGTCTCTGCCTGCTCTCAACTCCCGTTACAAAGTTTATTACCTGCGGTAGCGCGCACAGTCCGCGGCTCGCAAACCGCGCTTCTTCGCAGCCGCGTCTGACCTTGCTCCAGATTTGGCCACCATCACTGCACGAACGCTGTCCCAGTCTTCTTTCCCTCGGAATTGGCGCCTTCGTTCCTCTTGCTTGACCCCCGGCTCTTTACGCCCTCTTCGGCTCTTCGCTACACTTATCAGCAGCACGTCGACGCGCAATATTTAGTCCTGACGCGTGTTACTCGCGGCGTAATTTCGGTGTACTCAAACATATTAGACTTTATTATTATACTAGCCAAATTAAAAGTTTTATGACGTCTCGGATAATCCACTTTCTCTAGACTACTATTATTTCCGTCCCCTAAATCTTCTATACTGCACCCAGTTCCAATAACTGCTGCACCACTGTCAAATTCTGCATAACTTCCTAAATTTCTTCCACTTCGTTAAGTTCTAACAAACTGCTGAACACTTGTCGAATATTACAACTTCCTCACTTTGCTACAGCGCACTTCTACTCGCTCCTGCTCTCTCTACGCTCTACCGGCCTTGCTCACCGCACTCGTCTGTTTCTCTCGGCGTCCCGTACAGAACGGGGGCTGAGTGGTCAGCTGCTCCGCCATTTAAAGGAATGGTGTGACGTAACGGCGAACTCTTCCATGATTTCCATACGTTGCAAGTACGCCGCCGTCGCGCCGCGGGCCGCAAATAGCAGATAGCGCTATTTCTGTGGTAAATTATTTGGCGCGCCTGTGCCACGGTGACCTGCCTTGGCTTCACCGACCCATTGTAGGTATGGGGTTTCTGAGCCTGCCTCAAATGCCGTAATATATATGATGATTGTGAAAATTGAACACCATATTACTACAATAAAAATTATTTCACAGATTAGGAATAACAGAATATTCAAATTATTAGAATTACCATCACGCACTGCCATCATAGCCTCTTTAAGTCGTGGCAGGGTTCAAAGAGAGCCTGGATATGATGTTTGAGAGCACACCTCCACGCTGTTTCTATGCCTGTCCATAAAGCATCGACAGTGCTTGCAGGAGGAACAGAATGAAGAAGATCCCGAGCGACCAGACATGTTCGATGGACGACATACCAGGCAAACCTGCAGGCCATAGAAGCAGTAATACGATCCTCCTCTATCCACTAGTTCCACACACGCATCACTTTCGTATCAGCGCTCCCTATACGACCTGCAATGTCACGGCACGATAAACTCGCTTCCTGGAGACCGATCATTCTGCCTGTTCGAACTCGGTATGGTGTAACGGTGATGGGTTGTGGCGTCGTCGGGTGCGAGTAACACACAGACACGGAGTTGTTTATACAGTTTTATTTACAAGTTTTATTAACACTATATACATACCTCCTCGGAAACGCGGCTGCACTTCTCCAGCACTGCACTCTGAGGCATCCCCGCCCCGTCTTGACGCAGACCCAGCGGCTCTTTGGGCCGGGCTCTGGCCTTTTGTCGCGTGGCAACCCGCGGCCACACCTCGCTGCGGAAGTCTCGCGATAATCTCCTGTTATGTGTGTGTATTTGTCCGGCGATTTCGTTCAACTCGAATGCCCCACGGCCTGGTTTCTCTCCAGCCGCTCGCGAGGGGCATCTGTTATATACAATGCCGGCGGCGTCCTTTCATTCCGAAACGTGGGCCTGTTTCAATTTTGGAGTCCAGCTGCACCGCGGCTTGGACTCTACCCATAATTCTCTGCGCTCAGTTGTGACACCCACGTTCCGAGTCACGCCCACCCGGGCCCTTGAGGAGGGGCCCACCTCTGGTGGCCTTCCACTTGCCGCCAAAGGACCGCCCCCGCCCCCTCGCTGGCCTTCCGACATGTGTTGTCCATTTGGCCCCTCGGCACGACGTTACAGGGTAAACAAAAACTCGAAGACATGCTCATCTTACCCCTGGGAACCTATCTCTGGGAACCCCTGCCCCTGCCATCCCACATACATCTCCCACCCATTCTTCCTCCTCTCCATTAACAACCCCACTCCACCCTTACTCACTCCACATCTTTCACAAGCATTCAGACCTCTCATACCCCCCCCCCAGTTCCTTCTACTCCCATACCTCTCCTGCCCACTCCACATCATTCACCTGCCCCCAGTCCTACTTTATTTACACACTCGTACCCCGACACCTCTCCTGCTCACTCCACTTCTTCCAACCTTCTCCTCACGTTTCTTATACTCTTCAGCGCCTTCACCTACTTCCACACGTCCTACTCCCCATCCAATCCGTACATACAACTTCCGTTGCAACCGAAAACCCTCTCCTGTATATAACCTGTAGCATCAAATATCGGCAGGAAAGCAGACAATACACAAAAATAAAAACTATTTTCATATACTTCACCAAAATGTACTATTACTTAAAAGTAAACTCATTTTTAGGGAAGTATTATTTGAGGAGAAACTCGACCACATTTTGATATTGTGCTTCACAGAACAGTAGCTGACTAAAGAACAATTAGATAACTCGTATATACCAAGGTTCTCTGTAGCCAACAACAATATTTCCCTTAAAAATATAAATAAATTAAAATGATTTATCCCAATTGACTTTCTGTTTCATGTTGACCGTTTTGAGCTAAAGTAAAGAAAAATGAACTGACATATTGCGTCTTGCGACGTAGAAGAAGAATGCCTGACAAAAAATTCCATTTCTCTTTTTGTTTGCTAGATGCATTAGATGTTGCAGTAGGACTAGGTGTACAAATAGAAAAACAGAAACTAGTCAAAACCTACTTCTTACTCCTCACACCTCACCATTTCATGTTTTAAACATAGTATGTACTAATACCATTAAATTTTATTTAGATGCTACCATAATTGATATCATGTACTGTTTTCTTCTTCTTCTTCTTCTTCTTCTTCTTCTTCTTCTTCTTCTTCTTCTCGTTCTCGTTCTCGTTCTCGCTCTCGTTGTCGCTCTTATTGCTCCTATTGCTCTTACTGCTCTTACTGTTCTTACTGTTCCCACTGTTCTTAGTGTTCCCACTGTTCCTACTGTTCCCACTGTTCCTACTGTTCCTACTGTTCCCACTGTTCCCACTTTTCCCACTTTTCCCCCTGTTCCCACTCTTCCAACCTTCCCACTGTTACCACTGTTACCACTTCTCCCACTGTTACCACTGCTCCCACTGTTCTCACCAATACACATGATTTTCCCCTTTGGGCTCCTAAGTCTGGACATTGAAATATCACACGTATTTTTAACGGTTTCGCACGTTTTTCGTACTACCTGCCTCCACCCGAGGCGCTGTTTCTGCGGGTTCTTTGCCTTCTGTTGACATTCTCCCTTCAACTCCTTACTTTTCAAAAACAGCATTACTTCCGTAGGAGCCGCTATTTCTTTTGTAGCTTTACTAGTGATCTCAAACGTTGTAGCTATTTTCTCGACCTGAGCCAGGGAAGGATCTTCCAGCTGCAATGCTTCCATCCTCACTTTATTCTCCGGGAAGTGTTGCACTATCATGGCTCTAAGGACATGAGGACACTGGGCATACGATGAACTGCAAACACATTTGAAATCAGTCCCTCCCAGTCACCAAACCTATTAACTCCGTTATCCATTCCTTGTGCGAGTTACCTGGCTTGATCCTGTTTTTGAAAAAAAGAAAGTATCTTGCCGCCACTACATGCGATTTCCTTTCGAAATGCGAAGACAATTTTTCCATCAACTGCCGGAGACCCACTTCTTCCTCTATTTAACGGAAAAAAGTTTCTGCCTGTGGAGTATCACATGTCAAGAATGAGTGTAAATTTACGAAACGGAAACTGGCTTTTTACTACGGTTATTCTTTGATTCTGGATAAATAAACTGTCATTGTTTGTATATACAACAACAAATGGAGAACTTTTCACACCAACTTCGAGTTAGGAGACGCTTCCTAGCCACCGCGGAGGACAGACTCACTGGGGAAAAGCTCCGGCCGCCGAGGGACAAACAGTCCTTCCCAGAACTAGAGCAAGAAATTGCCTAGCTTTCCCCTTCTAAGACTTTTGCATTTAAACGGCCCTTTTTAGGGCTCTATATATTTTCAGCCCCTTATGGGCCATAAAAGCGCCATGTCGACACCTGCGTCATTTCCTGTGCGGCCATTTTTCACCCCTAGGGGGGGGGAGTGGTGAGCGCGGGCCGAACGACGTTAAGGGGAACCGTGAAGCGACGCTTCGGTTCCCCATCAACGGAACGCATGTGTTCTAAGCCGCCATCTGCTTCCAGGAGGGAGAAAGGAAGCCGAATGACAGCGTCTGCCGCCTCGCCGCCCGCCGCTGCTCCGCCACGACTCCTGATGCGCTGCCCGCCACAGCGGACGCCGCAGTGGCGCCTACCCCGCCACCCGTCGCAGATACCGGCGAGGACGAAGACCGGGGTCACGCTCGTAACCCGACGCCGCCCACCCATATCTTTCTCTACGGGTTGGAGGATATTTTCGAGCTTCTTGAGGGCTTGCGATGGGCCTGCGGCGACGCCGTATCACCGCTGAGGTGGCCGGCGAAGCGGTCAGGGTTCGGTGCGAGTTCCTCGAGACGCAATGGAGGAATGCTCTGGCCGCCCTGGACGACAGTGACGTAGAATATCATACATACTTCCATGGGAATCGCGAATCTTCTTCAATATGTCCTAAGAGGCTTAGCGTTAGAGCTCTCGCTGCAAAGGCTCCATGATAACCTGGATCTTCTTGGGATTCAGGTTCAGAAGCTGGAGCGTTTGATCAGCCAGCAGCCTGGGCGAAGGGACAGGTTGCTGCCCCTACTAATAGCAACGCTGGAGGACACGGCGCTCCGCGAGCTGCGTAACGTCCGAGGGCTCCGCGTGCGCGTGGAGATGTATCGACACCGCTCGCACACGCAGAGCCACACCTACCTGGATTTCGGGCACGTGGCACGAAATTGCAGATGCCTCACGCGCTGCAAGAAATGTGGGGAGTTCCACGACGCCGCGCAGTGCCCGATGAGGTTACACGTCCCAGCGGCAAAGCGTAAATGCTCCAACAGCCACGGCGATCGACATGGCGCTAAATACAAGGTTTGCCCCGAGTATAATCGCCGATGTTTCAGGGGCAATCCTGCCCAAAAGCAGCGGCAGGAGCGGCAACAGCGGGGCCGCCAGCGGCGCGCCCCCGCATCCAGGAGAGGCGAGCGGCTGGCACGCAGTCGGAGGCATCGCGCTCTCTTTCGAGTGCGAACCTTCGCGCCGCCGCACCACTACGCCGCCACCGCGGCCTCAGTGCCTAGACGCGAACGCCCACGCGCCCAGCGGTAGTAGCGACGCTAGGAGCGGACCTACTCGGACGCCCTGGTGCAACGCCCCCGCCCCACCCGGGAGCGCCAGCCGACGGCCGCCGGCGCAGCTCGCGAGGAGCGCGATGCGCGTCTGGAGCGGCATAGGCGGACGGCGGAGACGATCCCAGTTCCCTCCTCTCTGAACGAGCAGAAGGGCGTGATGCTCGCCGCCGTGGATTATCTCGCCCGAAACTGGATCCCTCCGGACCGCGTGATGCAGGCGCAATTTTTTTATACAAATTTCTTTGCATATGTAACAAGGGATGGTAAGAAATATGGCGCTAGACACATTTTCGGGTATTGCTCGATATTCTCAAAAATAAAAAATCAAATTTAAAAGTACAAAATTGAAGATTGTGGTTTTTGTCTCAGGCAATGGCTGTTGCACCAACTACCTTTTTTAAAAATGTCATTGTCAATTTTTTGAAAAAAAACGAGTAGTTTTTGATGAAATTTGCGTTTGTAGCTTACGGAAAAAAGATTGAAACCCATTCCAATTGTTTTCTTTAAAACTTCTCCACATAAGGAACGGTAAAAAATATAGTGCTAGTCCCACTAATCGAGTATTGCTCGTTTTTTTCGAAAATTACAAATAATTTCAAAATAAAAAAATTGAATATATTTTTGACTAAAAAAATTGTAGTAAATTAACTATTTACATAAATAATAAATAAACTAATGGCACGGACATTATCGCCCAAGTTAGTTTTCTAATTTCTCTACTCTAGACTAACTTTGTAAAACGTATCAAGCATCAAATCAATTGTCTTTCTGCGCTTATGACTATAATAGAAGTGCCAATCCACTTTTTAAACCGGGTGGCCGAATAGTTTAAATGTCGAGTTCGGTATTAACGTTTCGTGGAGAAGGGTCGCTGTTTCGAGGCATGCTCAGAGATAATTATTTGTCACAATTTTCTGTTGCTTTTAACCAGCAAAAATTATTTACCTGTTGAACTGCAATCTTTTCTGCCCATAGAACATTAATTTTACATTTTATTACTTTTTCCGCTTCTTAATACCGCAACTGAAACATGAAGATCTTATGACTATTATAGGAGTGCCTGCACGACCCCGATGACCGAGGTTGGTTAAATCATGTGTATAGTATCAGTGCTATAGATGCAAGGTCGACTTCTTCGAGCCTCGCTCCCGGATAGTTATTTGTCACAATTTTGTGTTTCCGAATAAAACTATTGAAAATTGCAGAAACTTAAGTGAAAAATATTTGAAGCACTTCTACTAACAAATACAATCTATTAAGATGAAGAAATTTGAAGTGTTTTTGTGATTTTCGAATTTGCAACTTTTAACCCCCTTGTCTTTTCACATTTTCTCAGATGCGTAATGCTAGAACAGAAACAGTTGCCTTGAGTAATATGGAAGAGTACAAATCTTGTCATTCCTTATGCCCGAGATTGTTAGGTGGCATGATCGAATTCACCACTTGAAACCGAGCAGTCACGAGTTCGAGTCTCACAAGGGGGTATTTTTTTTAATTTGAAGAAAATGTTGTAGAAAACTATCAGAGATTCGTGAAACTTTATAGAAAATTATTTGAAGCATTTCTACTCACAAATATAATCATTACACATACAAATAAACCGGTCGTTTCTATACATGTTTTTGCAATTTGTAACTTTTAAACATTTTCTTTTGCGTATTGCTAAAACTTATGTCACGTCAAATCAATTGTTGAGTTTCTATGCATCTGTATAAACCAATTTAAGTAAACTAATGAATATATCGCCATGAAAATTTAAATACACTATGAACATTAACCATGTGACCATATTAGATATCCTTAACGGTAAAGACATTACTTTCTTGCCTTACGAATTCTTCGTAAAAAGAGAAAGTTACGTAATCGTGCGCCAGAAAACGATGAAATTTCACAAGAATAAACCTCATTGTGGTTAACGCTAGCCTAAACCGATTCAGCTTATTGATCGTAACGGACAGGAGGCTTTGGGAGTTTCTAACGGATATTTTCATTGTTGAAAGGCTTTTTTTTTACATAAATCGGGCATTTACCGTTTTATACGCGCTTTAATTTCGTGCTCTCGTAGCTCAGTGGCGAAGTCGCTTGCCTTTCGCTACTGATTTGCTGGGTTCGAGTCCAGTAGAATCCCCGTATAACGTCATGTGAAATTTGTTACGACAAAACGAGTTAGCACGCTTCACAGGAGCTAGACCCTTGCCTTCTAAAGCGTCCTAACCCTATACTTATTCCTTCCCAATTCTGGCCGATAGGTAGATGACGCACGGCACGCGAACGCAAGGACACCTACCTATTGGCGATTCCCTGACTTTACTTGACTACCCAGCAGCCCCTAGAGGGTGCTGGGTGTATGATAAAGGAGGATTACTTTTATAATAATAATTAACAGAGGATTACTCCAAGGTGCGTTCAATGATCTTAAGAGCTAGGAGACGTGTTGCGTGAATAGACGCAAAAAAATATTATACCTTTGTCAGAATCCGAAGCATGGCGTAGTGGTACGAGTGCCGGCACGTTAAATCTGAGGATGTGAGTTCGAGTCTCGGAGCGGAAAAATAATTACCTGCTTGATAAAACTTTTGCTGGTTACGTAGTGGTGTAATGTTCCGGAGCTTTTAGAAACAATGCGAGAAAGTATGTGCTTTGTCAGCACCACTATTTTAAAACTGCACAAATTGCACGTAATATTGCGCGAAAACTATTAAACGTTTCAAAACAATGTGCATGCCCTTCATGAGAGAATTAAATATGGAGAATAAATTTCATTTGAAGGAAAAATCTCTTTCTTTAATTTTGTAGTTGTAGGAAAAAGTCGCAAAAATTCAAGTCTTGCAATTTTCGAAAATTCGGAGTTAACTGTGAAAATCTGACCTATGCCACCTTTATAATTGTATTTTACTCTAATCTTACAAAAAATTTGAAGAAAAAATTTGTAGCAGTTTTTGAAAAAGTTTTGATATTGCCCCAGGGACTTCATGTAAAGTACCCTAACTTTTGAAGAAAGTTTTTCATAATTGCAGCACCTTGAGTGGACCGAGATTGACCGGGGAATATTCATTTAGAAAAAAATCCTACTTATAGTTTGGCGCTAGTGTTGTTCACAAACTGACAGACGAACGGACGTTTTGCCGTCAATTGGTTTCTCGGTATCAAGGACCCACAAAACTGGGATTCTGGCTACATCAC